CTCTCTCTCTCTCTCTCTCTCTCTCTCTCTCTCTCTCTCTCTCTCTCAGTTGGGAGCATTACTTCAAACGCTACGGATTACACAAAAAGTCATTGAAAATCGAATTAGGTCTGGTAGAATCGGTCAATAGTAAAATGGACGAATTACAAGCGATGGGAAAGTCATGGAATGAGGTAAGTGCGAAAAACAAAAACCGACAGTCAGATCAAACATTTTTACTCTGAATTGGATCAATTTCAGGTTCAATTTTTGATGAAGGCGGTGGAAATTTTATGGGAAAGTCGAAGACAGCTGATGTTCACGTACATTTTCGCATATTTTGTGAAAACCCACCATCAAAAGACTATTTTCGAAGTAAACCAATGCGATCTGGAGAAGGCAACCGAAAATTTGTCTCAATACTTCGAACAGGACCTAACAAAAGACAATGCCGAAGAGATCAAAAATAATGTTCTGAACAGATCCAAGTGAGTGCTTGACAAAAACATGAATTTGTGGATTGATTTGACAATTTGGCTTTACATTACAGTTACTGTGAACGGCGTCAAAAGACCATGCAGGAGCATATTTTTGAAGGTTTTGAAAATAACTGGTGGGCATTCCAGTCGTTCATTTGATTCAGTCTTTGCAGTCACAACGGATTCCATCCCATACATCAAATAATGTTCGATTGAACACTCCGAACCATAGACTTGTTACAGTTAACCATCTCATTGATGAAAGTTACTACCTCAATCATGCCAAAATCGAAATAGGTTAATCCGAACTGATGAAATTTAAGTCATAACTAGTTAAGTGAAATATTTCAAAATTTAAGGTATAGAGTAAGAAGAGGAAGAAAAATTTATGTTAACTACATCGAATCTATTTAAAAAAAAATCATCTCTCCAACAACAACAACAACAACAACCAAAAAACAAACATTAGTCATCAACATCCATAATAAATTTATTACACTTGGTTTGCGCGAATTGTGTTGTTTTCATTTTCTGATGCAATCGCACAACACTATTTCTATGAAATTCACATTCAATCTGGTTTGTATTTGTTTTCTATTCGTGTCATGTGTATAACGGTAATATACGCACCAGATGGCATTGCATTCGTTCTGTCACATACAGTCTGAGTCATTACAGAATACTTGATGTTTATCACTAATCACAACAAACAGTGAATTGTTGTCATCTCATAGAACTCGGTCGTTTGGCCGGTATTTCCTACGGAATCGTTTTATAACAACGTGATAGAACATTTTTATCGCATTCAAATTATTCGCTTTGCAAAGTGTAAATCGCATTGAATAGATTAAAACGGAGCGTTTTGTGTGTCAATTGCGAGTACTTGTTTGTTGTTCTGACATTTGGCCATCAAGGACACAGAAAGAAATGGACAGTGACGACGGATATTCGGATTATGAACCGGATTATGAGCCAGAACCATGGGATGATTTAGATATTAGTGTTTCAGTTGCCAAACCACCGCCATTTGAACATCTCACCACTGACGATATCGTGAAACTGATGAACCAATACATTGAACATGTTATTGCCATTGTAAAGGTGAGTCAAAGTGCAAAAAGTGTTGCAAAGCAAATTTCGCAATGATTACATTATTGGGTGATGAATGGTGAAATTGTTATAAATGTTTCGTTTATGTTTCAGATGCCAGCAACAACCACACGAATCCTATTGAGCCACACAAAATGGGAGAAACAAGTTCTATTGGACAAACTGACAGCGGAAAATTGTAATGAATTTTTCGAAAAGGCGAACGTTCTCAATCCGTTTACTGAAAACAGCCAAATTCAACAGTCAACGGATGAATTGCACGAATGCAACATTTGTTTCATGGAACCATCGCAAGATGTAAGTTTTCGGAGAAAGATTTTATTGAAAAAAATTTCTTTTAAAGCGATTCAATTCAAGTAATGATGAAGGATTTTTGATTTCTGAAGGAAATTCTGGACTTGGGCTGTGGTCATACGTCCTGTAAGGATTGTTGGCGTCAGTATTTAATGCACCAAATTATTGAAGTCGGTAAATCCGACTTAATTCGCTGCCCTGCTACAAAGTGTGACGTTGTTGTTGACGATGTCACTGTTATGCAGTTGCTTTGTGATGAAAAAGCAAAGCAAAAGTATCAATATCTGATGACCAACAGTTTTGTCGAGGTAAAGCACGAACGAATTTGTATACTTATTTTTCAACGATTCGATCCTTTTTCCATTTATTCGTTCGGAACTATGGGAGTATAACCTAAATTTTCGATTTTTCTTTTCACATACCTATTCATTCAACCGAATAGCACAATCGTTCATTACGTTGGTGTCCATCACCAGGTTGTGTTTTGGCAGTTAAGGTAAATCAGCTGTTGGCATACCAAAAGAATTGCACCTGCAAATGTGGTTACAACTTTTGTTTCCAATGCGGCGAGAGCTCTCACGACCCGATTCCATGTGCATTAATGGAAAATTGGCGAATGAATTCCAACGATTTGAACATTGAATACCTCACAAAATACACGAAAGAATGTCCCAAATGTTATGCGGTCATTGAAAAGAATGGCGGTTGTAATCGAATGGTAAGTTCAATTTATTTTGAGTAAAAACTTGATGAGTAACTCAAATGAAATTGACGGATGGCATTTAAATTGATAGATACATGCTCAACAATAATTTCATTTACTCTCACTAGATATGCCGAAAATGTGAGCATCCATTCTGTTGGCTATGCTATGGTCCAATGGAAACATATGATCACCAGTGCAATACGTACAAAGACGAGGACACAGACCGATCCGATCGACACCGGTACGATTTCACAACGCTTAAATTAATCGAATATTCTGTTTAATTTCGTGAATATTTCGTTTGTTCTTCAGGTGGCAGCATTACTTCACACGTTATTCGTTACATTCAAAGTCATTGAAATATGAAGAAAAATTGACTGACGGCGCAATCAAATCTAAAATGGATGACATGCAAGAGATGGGAAAGTCTTGGAATGAGGTAAGACCAACAAAAGACGATGTTCATTGGAGAACTTTTCTATAATATGTAATTGGTCGATTTCAGGTACAATTCTTAGTAAAAGCGGTGGACATTTTATGCGAAAGCCGTAAGCAATTGATGTTTACATACATCTTTGCATACTACATTGAAGACCACAATCAGAAAACCATATTTGAAGCCAACCAAAATGACTTGGAGACAGCCACCGAGGCGCTATCGCAATATTTAGAGCAAAATACCACGAAAGATAACATTGCGGAGATCACCATTAATGTTATGGATAAATCAAGGTGAGATCCACTTTAAACGTATTCCATGTTCTCATTGGCATTAATTTTCAATTTCGATTCATTTAGTTACTGCGAACGTCGGCAGAAGGCCATGCAGGAGCATATTTTCGACGGTTTTGAACATGATTGGTGGTCATTCGCAACGAATCTCTGGTCTCGACTGAAACAAATGATGTAAATGTACAGGGCTATAGCCGAAATTGTGTGTCGCACAAAAATCAGATCTTTCATGTAAAATAAAAACAAAGAAGAGATGTAATTCCAGAAGTACAATTGTTAGGTTATGCAGCCTTGTCCATATGCAGCAGATAAATCACAATAATATTGGAAGACTGATTAATAAAGTTCGAATTTCTAATTTAACGTAGAATTTGGCACTACAAATCTTCCAAAATAGATCAAATCAAATATTTCTTGAAAAAGTGTACCTAAACGTTTACCTTAAGGGTCGACAAGACTAGGAGAACAAACATCCAGTATCAGGGATTCTACTAACTAAGTGAACAGCTGAATATAAAACAAGTTATTTTAGTGATAAAAAAAAACATGAGAAAATGTAAAGAACACAAGTTCATTGTTATTTTTCGAACGATTTCAGTTTAGATTGTAAAAATGATGAAAATATTATGAAATCGAAATGATGTTCAACCATAAAAAACCGCTTGTTTCTTGATTTTCTAGCTCTTTACTTTACATAATCACGATGTAGATCATTCATCTGTTGAATGAGATGGAATTTTGGTTCTGATCCAACGTACTTCACCAACTACTTTGAATCCAAGCTTTGCGAACAATGAGAGGGCGTATTATGTTCATAGATATCAGCATAAACGTCATAGCCCATTGCAGCATTTTTCCTCGAAAGAAATCTCGTAACCAAAGATCCATATCCAAAGCCATAATATTTTTCATCCGTTTGCAATGCACCAAGTAGTCCGTTTGGGTACCTAGAATCACAGTTTGGTTTCGATAATTTTTAATTAAAATGGAATTCGATGAAATCGTTTTTTTAATCGTTATCATCTTCTTCTGATAAACAATACAACACCATCGTATCGTCATAAGTAATCGCAACATCAGCTTTCTGCAGCGCACCTCTGGCTATAGGCTTTTGATTAATCGAAAGAGAATATCATAGGATTCATTGTGGGTATCCGCGTAAGTACTGCTACCGTCCTGAAATGCCTTTCAACTTTAAATTTCGATCAGATGGAAGTTCCATCGGAAAAATCACCATTTAGGCAGTAAAACTTGACATCAATCACGTTCGAATCTTGTTCAAACCATCGAATATAATTAATCAATTGCTACAGAAGCAAGAAAACCATTGGATGCTTTTTTATATAGATTCTTCAATGTTGCTAGATGTTTTTGGCTAATTTCCACCAAATTATCTGTCATGTTGGCTTTTGATACGTTTTTCAACAGATTCCCTATTATTGCAATTTATACGTAAAATCAAACAAACATGAGCACACTGAATACACTGATTCTCAAGTTCAATCGAGCGAGTTCAAATACCATTCAATCTCAATGCTTCACCCGCTCCTTCATAATTCAATTATCTCTTTCAATTCATCCTATTGAGATATCATTCATACTATGTCTGCTGATAACGACACAAGCAAACGAAGAAAGAATCACTATTGGATCTTATGTAATTAAAATCTAATACAGTTTTGTTGTGAAACTTGGTAAATTGTGATTGTTTTCCTGAAAAATAAATTAAACTCACGAATTATGACGAAACGCGTATATTTTATTGTTTATTTCTGTTCATAAAGAGGTTTTACAATTGTTCGAACATTCGTTAAACAGGTGTTGGTTGTAAATGCAAGTTAAAATTATAAACAGTGGGTTGGAAATGTGATATTGGATAAAAACTATGTGTTCCTATTTTTCAAGAGGAATTTGCTGAGATGAAAAAATATTCCTGTAATCTGTGGAAATATTCGTCGATCATTTTTATTAATTTTTTTAAATTTTCTGACTAGTACATCCAATTCTTGATAAATTTCCAAAGTTTTGAATTTTAATCTAGTTTTCGTTTCTTTAGTATGTTATGGATTTAAAAATTGAAACCACTCTAATATCTATGAAAACACGCTAAGCACTACGATATCCATAAAACACCAAGGAAAATTATTTGTTGCATAAATTCTTGACCTTAATCTATTGCAAAAAGCGTGGACGTTTGTCTGTTTAACCTGAATTGCTGCTAAAGGCTGCGTTGCATCAGTTCGGAAAACCGACTAGCTGTTGTACCATTGTAACTTACAATTTGTAAGAGCAGGAACTATTGTTTTGAGAGCCATTTATATCTCGTTTATTTTAAATTTGTATCAATGTTGTGTATATTTTGATTAAATGAAGCTTTTTGTGGCAGTTCTACAGCTACACATAAAAAAGCAATAGCTTTCAGTATTGAGTCTATTGACCATGGGAAGAAATTTGTTTAAACAAAAAAATAAAAAGTAAAATAAAAACAAAAACAAATAAGGGGAAAAATATCCAAAATAAAACAAAACCAACATCGAATCTATGTGTGTGTGGAAAAAAGAAAATTTGAAATGTTTTATTCAACTCATTATCCGAACGGCGATTGTAAAATTAAAACAGAATTTATTAATCGTAAAAATTATTAAATTATTATGATGATTGTATGTCCATTTGTTTTGAACCAATTTTACTTAAAAACGTAAACGATTAATAGCTAGTGTTAGGATCGTTGAAAGAAGAACAAAAATCGAAATTGTTTCAGGAAATTTTGTTTGTTTTGATTTTTGTATGATAACTGCTGAATTTTGATCATTTTAACAAATAAACAGAAACAAATAGCGGAAAGTACAAAATAAGAATTAAAATGTGTGTGTGTTTTTTTTTCTCTCTGTTTTGACTTGGGATCATACGTTTTAGTGTGCAATTGGTATTAATTTTTCGCCGCCAGTCAATGCTGGTGGAAGTGGAGCATCAACTGTCAATACACCATCTTTGCTAAGTGATGATCGGATTTGTTCTGGATTCACTCCTTTCGGCAACAAAAATTCACGGTTGTACTCTCTGTACACGCTCTTTGTGTCCGATTTCTCTTCGTGCTTGGCGTGAACCTGAATGGATTTAAAGTTTAAGATAAGAAAAACAATGAAAATTGTCTCGAAATCAGGCAATGAGCTAGATAAACATTTTTTGCTCTCTAAATCGAAGTTTCTTCGAAGAAAAAAGAATGCTTACCAATAATTTCTGATCGACGGTCTTAACAACGATTTCTTCTGGTGCGTATTGGCTAACATCAAAACGCAATTTCAATACTTTGCCGTCACCTTCATCCTATGAACATACGTATAAAAATGAGCATTCAATTTGTTTGATAATGACCATCGATAATTAATTTGTGGCAAAAAAAACACACATCAAACAAATTCCATTGCTGTTTATTTAAAGTGTATGTTTTTCCCAGTCAGCAGAATGATGTACAAATATTTAAATCTTCTGAATGTAATTGAAAACACTTGAATTCCGTCAAATAAAAGTCAAAGTAAACATTGAATTAAGTTTTAAAACGTGAAATGGCTAGATCTTCAAGTGAGTGGCATGATAATAACCAATAATTGATCGTAAATTTTAACGAAATGCCCCAGTAGAAATGAATTTTAGAGATAAATAATTGGCGAAAAGTTTACTTTGAAATGATTGGTTTGGTGCCAATAAATAAAAGCTTCGAATTCGATTCGAACTCTACGGCCTCAAAATTGCGCAATTTTCAACGAATATGTTCTTTTGTCTGATTCTGGCTGCATGCAAAACAAAAGTACAATTTATTGATCGTCCCAACGAAAAACGTTTAATTTTCGCGTTTCTCTCAAAAAAGTAAAACGACAATGGATACAATAAATAGTGTTTTAATTTGATGATGTGTGTCATTTACAGAGCAAATATCCCAAAAAAATATGTATTACCTGAATCAATGGTGAGTTAAGATCTGAAATGTAGTTATGTTTTGGGATTTGTGTTCTAAGTGGTGACAATGCCGACGACGAGTTGTTTGTGATGCTTTGATTGTTGCTTGTTGATGAGCTGCAAAAATACAGAGAAAAAAAAACAAAGAAAAAACCTTCAATATTAAAACACTTGGTCGGAACATTTTTTTTAACGCTAAATTCAATTTTTTACATTTAATTGGTGGTGGTGCGTGAACATATAAGGTAAAAATGAAGATGCCATAATTATGACGACAAACAGAGTGTGTAAATGTTACAATAAACAGTACATGGAATACGAAACACGTACGATGACAGAGCGATCGATTGTGCGACATAACAAAAACATACAAATTAAACAATCGATGAATAGAGCGATAGAGACAGATGAAAAACTAAAGCGTATGATGCGACCTCTAATTGATAGGCCAATGCGAGACTCTCGGGGAGCCAATCACACCGCATGTAATTGCTGTAGACTACAGGCCATTCAATTTGCTATTGAAGTGAAACAATTAAGGAAAATCACATTATTGTTATTGAACGCACGTTCCAACTGAGAACAGAACAGAAAAATATGGTTCGAATCGTGATTTCAAGCTTGTCGCACATTTTACATAATTGACTTATTACTATGTTTTTTTTTCTACGTCGAATTCTCGAAATTATTCATTTGAAATAAATGTTGCGCGCGAAGATGTTCCCATATTCAAGTCAGGTGGTTTATACAGACAAAAAAAAAATTCCCGCGTTGGTGTTCGATCTAATCCGAATTCTATATCGGAAGCAGAAAAGCAAATTTCTTTGGAGCCAACTGAGCACGATTGAAAAGCAATTATTCAATTCTGTGTGGGAACGATGTGTGTGTATGTGTATCAAACGTGTGTGTGTGGAATCAATGAACGCATTAGATAATCCTCTAATTTTAACGCCGATGATTTAACCGCATTCGATTCTCTTTCGTCTAAATGATTGACTCTTCCGTGCGGCGTTGCGTCGCATATTCATCATTTCCATCAGCCAATTTGCACATGTGAAAATTATGCAAATGCCAATACACCCGAGTCGTGTGAACGAGTGGGTAAATATTTTGCTGTCCCAAGCCACGTAAACATTCACTCGAAATTTGTATCTTATTCGCCGAATTTTGGCGTCTGTTTGTGAATATTCTACATGTTTTGCCAAAAATAAATGAAAATCCCATCGAATGATTCGGCGGATTCTTTTTTTGTATCAACCGTACTTTCGAGAGGCTTCAATTTTACTCCGTCACCGCCGCCGTCGTTGTCGAGCATTGAATGAATGTTTACGATTTATTAGTGTTCTGTGTGGGCGCCGCATTCGTCAGGTAAATTGGAAACGACTAGAACAAAGTCGTACAATTTTGTCATTTTCAGTTTTCCACTAGCGTTCAAGGTGGATGTATTTAACCGACTTAAGGTCGTACGTCGATGTAAACACATCTTGACTCAAATAAGCTTCATTTCATTCAGAAAAAAAATGCTCTTCTTATACGATCGTAATTTGAATAAAATCACAAAGAATAATTTTGCTGCATGATGTTTTGACGACGAGAATATTTTGTCACTTCTAGAAATTGGCACATTTTACAAGTCTAATTGATGTATGTCGTATTCAAAACTTACAATGGACAAACGGAATAATCCGGAAATAGTTAGGCAAATTGTGTGTAAAATAGACACAAATGTCAAGGCTCGTTAGAAAAACCACAATTAAATATGGTTCCATACAAAATGAAAACACACACAGAGAGCGAGAGAAATGAGCAGCAATTGTACGGCGACGCCTAATTTTTCGTTCTGAAAACTATTTGGCCAGACAATAAAAGCCAATCGGAGCACAATCGAAATATTAGTACAAGATCAATGAAATGACGTGCGTTTAATGTTTTGCATTTAAACTGCTTTTTCATTCGTGTTTTTTTTACCACAATGACCCAGAGCTATTAAAAGCATTCCAATTGCCTATTCAGGCTTTGTTTAATTGAATTGAGTTTGCGAGTTACAAAAACATTTTGCATACAATTTTTCTCTAATGGCAAACACAGAAAATGAAGAGAAAAAAAGCCTGAATAAAAATGTCAATTTCTAGATCCGAAGAGTTGATTGCCTATTTTCTGGTTGGAGCCAGACAAACACAATCTCAACTAAAATGCGCGCCTTTATATATCCATCCGTTCGAAAAATGCATGATCTCATTCAAATGAATAGCTGAGATGGGTGATAAATTAATTGAACGTGGCTTAATGCGTTTGTCACAACACACACACATGGCGCTTCAACACACAACTATTGGCGTTAGTTGAGACAATATTTTCAATTTTAGCACAAAAATTGCAATTATCTGTCCCAAGCGAAATGCCAATATTTCATGGGAAAATATTGATTGCCTGACTATATACGGATCATATAATCGCCGCTCGGCTCCAATTACTTCGATGTTCAGATTGAGAGAAAAGGCGTCTTTTTTCTGGTGAAATTCGCCACTTATAACCGATCATTCGAGTAATGCGCAATGACACGCTGTTCCCAATCAGTTAATCAGATTAAAACCAGCATATGGAGCCATTGCGTGGGACTTCAATTTACTCGCTAGCAAATATATACGTAGGTTATAAAAAAACGGCTATTTATTGAACGTCATACAGAAATATTTCTAGTATTTTTACTTCGTGCAACATATCTGCGTTCAACAATGGTTTTTTCCTGTTTTTGTTTCCAAATGACTTTTTCAGCTGAATTATTTGCCGTATTTTCTGCACTAAAGCAAAAGATGCAACAATTTGATTGGAACCAGTATAAACTAAAAAGGTTTACATTGAAATCTGCATGCAACAACATGCAGAAATATCAGAATTTTCGATCGAAAAAAAAGTGAGCACAAACAACAACAACAACAACAACAGAAAAAACCGAAATGAGAAAAACAATGGCTACTGTTTGCATAATGAATGAGAGAGTCAACGTGTATAAATAAAGGAACGGAAACAATGAACTACGATTCTACAAACAAATGTAATGGAATGGAAATGCAATTTTGCTTTCACCGCGACCATAGGGGCATTTTTAGTAAGTGCTATAGAAAGAGAGAGAAGAGAAATTCATTGAATGCATGCATGCAAAAATGGTAAAAAAAATAACAATTGTGTAATCATGAACAAAAAAAAAGTCATGCTGGAATGAGGTCAACTAGAGAGTGCTTTAGTTTCATTGGTTTTTCACATGATATGCAACAGTTCGTGATGGCAATTGGTGACGACGCCGCCACCAACGACGGCGACGACGACATTAACAGCCTAAACGCTGCCAAATGTGGCCAATCGTACACATTCTACCAAAACAACTACATTCAACAATACCTGCTGATCGTTTCTCCTTTGCAATTACTGCTGCTGGTCGTTGTTACTTTTTTAGTTGAGCTTGAGCTGAGTCGAAGCGAATCATCGTCATGAACATTGTTTTGTTTCGTTTCGTTAGAAAAAATATATATATGCAGAAGCGATAGCGTTACACGCAGTTGAAGTTGGTTAGTTCAAGAATCAAGTCAGTTTAGTAAATGTCATTCAACGAGCCATTCGAATATACAAAAAATAGAAATGCCAGACGCGCACACGCATCCAACCAAATGTTGTCAATCAACACAATTTTTCGTTCGTTTCGTTCAAAATCAATTAAAAAGCCAGCGAATAGGAAAAGAGAAGAAGAAAAAAAAAATGTTCAAATATTAGTATTAAATAGGATCCCCATAGCTAAAGCTGCAAAAATGACTCATTCAGAAAATATTTGGATTAGTACGCATTCAGTTTGGTTTTTTTTTTCCGAAGGAGAGAAGCGTTTAAGGCCTATTTATAATTTTAAAAAACTATTTAAGAAATGAAGCACCTCTTTCTATCGTCGGAATGGTGTGTATTTACATCTGTTTTGGCTTATGTTCAAACTCTCTTTTTCGAAATATTTCATCATATTTATAGACAAATTACACACTTTACTCCTTTTCCACTTGACACTAATGAAAGTGTTTAGGCTGAGCGAGCCACTTCGTTGAAATGAAATTTGATGCAATTCTAACGATTTCCTTTCTTCTCTTCATGACACTTGAACAATTCAATTTTTCATAGAATTCTTTTCGTTTGTTCATTTGCCGATCCGACCGTTCGTTCGTTCGTTTCTGAATGTGGAACAAGAACCTTCATTCAACCTTCTGTGTGCCGTCTTTCTACTTTGATTGCTTTGCTATCGATCGCCGTAAAAAAAAATTGCATTGAAACTATTGATTGCTGCGCCGATGAAGCATAGCGTATATTTATTTCGTTGTGCGAATGGAAAAGAAATTAACGTTTCTTATTTTCATTCGCTTTGGACGCTAGCCATGAACCATTTGTCAATGAGCGCCGTGCGTTGTCTGTGCCGTTTAAAATATTCAACAAGTTATTGGCTATCTTCGTTCCACATTGTGACCATAAAAGGAAATTGAATCGATTTTCTGCGGTGGCATATGGCTGAATTGAGAGTCAATACACGGTATTTCGTCGGTTTTGTATTCGCATTTTGCCGGAAAAAAATAAATGGATTGGTGATTGCATCGCTCTCTCTCTCTCTCTCTCTCGCGTCCATGGTCCGAAGTCACTTGCACAAATATGGTCATAACGAGAGAAAAAAACTGTACAATTAAATACAACTTTTAGCCGATACTTTTACCCATCACACCACAAAAGGTGATCGAGTGTGAAACACTTTCGAGAAATTCGGCAGCCACCGCATGACGACATAATAATGTAAACAAGAGGAGATGAAGAAAATGCCAAAAATTGTCGTCGGTAAAATATATATGACAAAATGAAATAAATTTTGCGCGTTAAACGCGAAGCGAATGCGGCCACTTGATGCTTATTTTGTCTTCTTTGTGTGACAATGACGAGAATTTTCTCGTATGCAAGAGATAAAGACACCTTTTTTTTCGCGCGAGCTCATTTCATTTCACGTTTTGCGTCGGAGCCCGAAGATGCCATGATTAATGATTCGTTCGGCTAAAAATAACCAATTCGTCAATTAATCGTAATGTTTGCGATAATCATCCACATAACATATACTCGATATTGATGTTTATTTCAGATAAATGTGTGCGAAAAGACAAACAATCCAGTCCATTTTTTGTCGCAAATAAAATTGCGTGCGATCGCAATCACACATCGTAAATTCATTCAACCTAATGAAGTCAATTGAGATTTCTTACAGCTTCGTTTCGTCTTTATGATTGCGTGCGGCGAGCACACGAAAATAGCACCACACACACACACACAAACTCGGTACGGCTGTGCGGCTAAAATGTTCCGTCGTCAAGTGAGCCGTATAATCTAATCGAGCATTTAGATAGGTGTAATAAACTTCGTTACCGGCTTGAAATGTTCCCAATGAATATGTGCACGGTTTGAATCAAGTGTGTCTGTGTCTAAAGTTCGTTTTCGTATCGAAATTGATTTTCTTGGAACACATATTTTTGGCTCACGGCACCGTTTTTGGTTGGCATCATTCTTAGTGCACACGAAAAAAAAATGCATTTTTTCCCCAGTTCGAAACGAAATTATGACTCGTTCGAACACTTTTTTTTCTCTTGCTAAAGAATTTTTTGCTTAAATCATTCAGCATGCTGCTGCCTGCAGCTGTAATGTATGGGCTGTTGAATCGTGCCAATGAATGAATGATTCAGTCAACGCTGCAGGTGACTGAGTTTCCGAAATGGAAGCCAGTTCGTTTTGGTGATGTAGAACAAGAATACACATTTTCTATTTGAAAATCACATTAATTAGCAGCGAAACTGTAAATGTTCACACATCACATTTTCATTAATATGCGAATGCAATTAAATACACACACACATGCGGTTTTTTTTTGTGTGGATGGAAGCAGCGCTATAATTTTGTGATAAATTTCTTCAAGTACAACGGGCGATTTCTAGCGTTCGATAACTGGTTTCTTTCAGCCAATGGATAAGGTTGGACTTTTTTGCAGAAAAAATTATCCCCAGAATCTCCTTGGATTGATTGGAACCGTGAATCAAATTGAGTTATTCATCCGAAAGATGCAATTACCGAACAAAAAGTCGAGTTGAAATAACCAACCTTGGACTCAGAATGCATCATAAGTTGAATACACGGTATTTTCTCTTGTGGAACGATTCGAAAAATTCGAACGACCGAATACCAAAGAACGAATCATTAGGTGAGCTTACAGACCATGAACTTGATCCATAATTATGCTATGACAAATATGTGGTCGCGATAGGATTCAACGAACGAAGTAATTTTTTAGCGCTTTGAACTTGGTGAAACACATTTGGCATAGCCGAAATATCGAACTGTATACATGATATGTGTTTCATATTCCATTTCATTTCGTTCTTCGAATGGAAAAATATAGAGTAAATTTAGTCATGCTTTATGAGAAATATTTTTTTATGTTGAGCCCATTTCGTGGCGGTCCTATCAAAATGCATAAAAAAAATTTTTATGACTCATAATAGCATTGAATCGTCCTTCTTCGAACAATCTGTCGATTGCTATCGATGCGTCATGGCGAAAAATCACGAAAAAGGAAAATTCAACATCAAGTCATGAGTCCTTCGAGAAGCGCGCCAATATAAACAATGAGTTACAACAATGTTGTTCTATAGGCGAGCTGATGAGGTAATCCACTGCATGAGTTATTGAACGGATAAAGTAACCGAGTAAAATTCAATTAGCTTCCTATATTCAACAATGTGGCGATCGTGAAATGAACAAAGTCCTCGAAACACAGCATGCTTATCTATATGTGATACATTGTGTCAGGCTTTCGCCAAGAAAGCGAAACAGAATTGAATTTCGAGTAAATTATTCCATCGTAAGTGTGTTTTGGTTCGAACACGCTGTTCGTGTTTATCATACGAATGGCGAGTGCGCATGTCGTATCATCATCGTAACCAATTCAATACGAGGGCTATACACAAAAGTCGAATATTATGTGTAACATGCGTTTGGAAACATTACGACCACGACCACGAATCATCGATGCACAGAAAGGCACGAAATTTTGGTGCGTAATTTAAATTGGTGTGTGACCTTGAATGGAACACGTGATTCCTATATAGTTTGATGCTGAATGAGTCATCCGTTCTAGGTGCCATCGTTTGAACACTGACCCATCTCAATCTCAACACTATTTGCTGTTGCTGCTGATGATGATTCAATCATTTCTTGTGGGTTCCGGTGTCGACGCAAATTTGAATGCTCAATTAATTTCCACACCATTTGCAGTGAACACTGGGCCATTTTTGTTCGCTGCAAACCCAACCAAATGAAACGGAAGCTCATTTCATTCATAAAAATCAACTCCAATTGAATTCTTGCACCAAAAACCTGTTCAAACGCTTAGCCAGCTTGGTTTTATTATTTCTTCTTTCAAAACGAGTAGCAGCGCTTGATTTGAATAACGAACTTTGTCATGCAAATGCTGACATGACGTATGCGCTTATTGCAATAATAATTAAATTTATTCATAAAACGAATAGAAATAAAATGTTCGATCTTGCGCGCGTGAGCCACACGTTTTGCTACAATGACAATGAAATACAAATGCTCGATGTGCTATGCTTCGCAAACCACAATCGACCGAGGAAGGCGACGACTAATGTGCGCCGTATTCATTGATTCGTATCGATATAATCAAGCAAAATGTCTAAAATTCACATACAAAACGAAGTGTTTAATGTCTCGTTTCACTTAAGAAAAAAAAAACATTTTTCTATATGCCGCCCACTGTTCAGCATTCTTTTGAGACAACGTAATCGTGTGCTTCTTTTTTTTCTCTCTCTCTCTCTTCTTACGTTTCTCTGTTCTGACGTTGCGAACAGAAGAGAAACAACGCTCACACACATATATTTGTTCGTCTAACAAAAAAAAAACGAAGAAAAAAAACACAAGTCTGCAGAAAGTCGGGGAGCACAGTAAGAAAAAAGAACAGTAAATGGAATGAAACACAAACAGCGGACCGCAGAATTCGACATATTTTTCTCATAAAATGATGAACTATTTTGAAATTGAATGTTTGGCATTTTTAGAACAACAGCACGAATTGTTTAATGACTTTAGCCGACGATAATCACGAAATGATTTGTCATTTTTCTAAATAGTGGTGCTGTTTGCTGGTTGTATTTCACACGCATGTTTACAATTCCAAAGCCGTTTCTTAGCAATGAGCTTAGAAGAAACAAAAAAAACCTTCCACGATGTGTATATATGAAATGTGCAATCCAAAATTTTCCAATGGTTCAACGGCAGTCGTTTTGATGCGAATGTGATCATTGGCCCTGCTTGCGATATACAAAGCACGGCAAAAACAAACAGGAGGAAAACTAAAACTATTTTAAAACTAAAATTGAATTGAAATGTTGTGTGTGTCAATGAAGCGAGACTGTCTTTAATATATCTAATTCTTTGTAGTTTTTGGGGAGAAAACATATCGCAGAGAAACACATAGCCGAAGCAATCATAAAAAGTGCGAAGAAAATGTGTAAAGAATAAAGCCGAAAACTAACAGTGAGCAAGATATACTGAACTAAACCGTTTAACCGTAGATGTATATTTTGATATATCTATATGGTGTGTAGAAGATGTTCAAATCGCTATTTATAGACATTGTGGTCCGAATGTGTAAAAAGAACTCTTCTTCGCCCGATTTTCATGATTCATTCGCTGTTCATTCTGGAAACTTTTCTGTCTAATCATCATTTTTCATTTCTTTCGAAAAAAAATTCGATTTTTACTTTTATTTTAGTTATTTTTGTTCCCCTATTTAAATTTCGTTTTGCATACCTGGTGGATGTTTCATAGTAGTTTGCTTCGCGATTCATTAAATCTGAACGGAATTTGGACATCTCGTCTTCCATTTTGCGCATTTCCGAATCGAAACGCTCACGAATGCTGGCGAATTCTGTATCGATGACACTGAAATCTCCTCTTGCAATTGGAATATTTCTCTTTGCACTTTCAGCCATTTTGATGCGTTATCAAGGGGGAAAAAAATTTCAAACAACAAAAGAACTTTTTTTTATATATTTCGTAGATAATTTGTCAAGTGTGAGTTATTCACTTGCGGAAAAAATCGATCACTTTTGACTGACAAAACAATAAAAACCGATTGTTTTAATTATATAATTAAATTTTGATCGATTGACTTGGAGCGCGGATTTCGGTATGGTAGAAAAGCACTTTTTTGCGTTGTAAACCGTGTGATTGTTGACTGAATACTGTCGCAGACGCAACGCGATTCCATTTAAATATACCCATAGAAACGTTGTGTGCACGCAGTCCGTTAGACACGAACGTATCGCGGAATAGCAACAACAATAACACAGACTTGATTGGATTGAGGCACACGATGCGGCGAGCGGATGTTGCGCTCTTCGGCTAGCGAATGTGTATGTGTCGCGCATATCTTTATTCAATATAACGAAACAATGTCTGTATGTTCGGCCCGATGTGCCTACCTTTATTTTCTCTGTATTCGGCGAGCGAACGACGGTCGCTTGACTTAAATGAAGAAAAACTCATTAAATACAAAGGATTCACGAGCAATTAATAATTTCTCATTTCGAGAGAACGAGCGAGAAAGACGAATCTGCATTGTGAAATTGTTCATCTTTTCGTGCATGAGCATCATTTCTTAATGCCAAGATGATTATTGCGGCTATTTATAAAAATATGATCTACTATGATCGAAATTACAGATCGGTAGACGAACGCCCACAATATCGAAAACATGTGTAACAAATATGTTAATATTTGAGGAAGTTTTTTTTTTATTTCATTATTCGATTAATTCTAATGAGTCTATTTCCTCGTAAATGCCGGCGATTCAGATTTGATCGAATTTAACACACAATCCATTTGCAAGTATAATTGAGCACTTTGTTCATTTTAATCGGCTTCACGGTGAAATCGCTAATTGGATTTTGATCGGTATGTGACAATCGATTTTATCGAGCCGTTACACTTTGGCGGCACACATGTTTGAAGTTTATCGTGTTGATCAACTAATGTTGTAACTCAGAAAGTTCAGAAAAGAAATGTTGTAACTGCTGAATCGATATTCAGATAGGTTTTTTTCTGCTGTACCAATACAAACCTGTCATTGGCTGGCGATGGTGACGGTGTTTTCTGGTCATAATACCGGCATAATCAGGCATGAAACAAAATCGTACGTTTACAGACAAATTTTTACAAGTCAAAATCTCCGTCAGTGAAATGACTATGACGAAAAGTTGGTTCCTACGCATTCATAATAACCGATGACGAATACATATCATATCTAGCCGCGTATTTGTCTATGGTGAGCGTCCATTTGGATCTACAAATCATTTTGATTGACAAAAAGGCACAGGCAACAATGCGTGAATCAACTAGTTTAGTAGGCTTCGAATTATGTGTGGGAAAATATTCATTGAGTAGTTTTTTGTCATTTGCTAAAAATTCAGGATCATAAAAATGGAATGTGACCTGTTCGCTCTTGTATGCCCCAAATGAGTATCTCTGTCTGACATATTCTGTCATTACATTATAATTAAAACGTTGTTCTCATCGACGGTTCAAAAATGAAGTGTTCCACATCCAAATTCCAAATTTAATCATTCCATTCGCAAATTCTCGCATACCGAAAATAGTCGTGATATGGCCGTTTTGTGTATGTTCTCGAAACATTCTATATCAGCCGGCAATTGAAATGGAAGCCCATATTTGGTGATAAAGCGACGCATCACATAACGCTCTACCCACTCAAAAGACAGGAAAAAAACATATTAACTTGGATGAATTTGGCATGAAATCTATACGGTGATTGTTAACCGCATTGGATCATCGTAAATCGATTTTATCGCGATTCGCGTTGACTTATTGAAGACTGAGCCAAAAAAAACACGAACGTCGAACTCTGGATAATTTGAATGGAAATGTACAAATCAATAACAAGTACGACGATATATTGAATGAATCGGACAAATCACTTTGTCAACTCACTACAACCAATTTACACACGGAACGATAACGTGGGACGAAAAATGAACTCATTTTCATAATAATAACAACAAATTGGATTTGAACAGGCATAGAACTAGCCCACGTGAGTGTGTGTTTTTATGAGGAAAAAACTTTTTTGCCGCCAAGTATGACAAAGAGAGAAATTCTAAACAACAACACTATGTTTACAAATATCACAGCCAGGCCAGCACATGCCATTGTTTCACCTCATCATTATTTCTGCCAGCAGATTCACATGATTTCGTCATTTGAGCGTAAGCAAATTGACGTTTATTTTAATTTGGACGTGAATAGTTTCTTTCTTAATCACATATCCGATAAATATATCGGATATTTTTCATTTGGAGCCTGGTGATTTAGAATTGAAAATTTGATGAGCTATTGGTATCCCCTATCCAGTTTGCCATGCTTTAGGTCGATTTCGATGATTTTTTCTATGCACTGTTGATGTTTGTTTTCATCGTTTGGCTCATGTCAAATGCAATACAATTGAAATGTCATCTGCTAATACCGGCTGAAAATTGGCTGCGTACTTTGCTGCTGCGAGGTTTTTTCGAACTAAAACCGTTCTTTGGCTATTTTCAACAAATTCATCGTAGAATTTCTGGAATTTTTATCTCCTATTGCTTTTAGAGTCTTTGTGCAATTTTGAAATGCAGAAATGGTGTTGTAGTAAAGTTAAGTAAAAAAAAATGACTACTGAATTCATTTTTATAACGGCAAAATTCATGATGTCATCTGTGGCGACACAACAGTTGATTGTTTACATAAGTAAAATTCAAGTGAATTTTTCATATAAACAAATTCAAATTTTCATTCTTGGGCCACTTGTCGTTAGTTTGTTGTGAACGTTCAACACAATTTTATCAACGGAATTTTCGTCAAGATCATCTGATTTTTTTTTTCATCAAGCATCATCGAGTAATGGACCTGCGACCAAGAGATCCAAGTAAGCTTTGTGCATAATTTAACGTATATATTCTTGTTCTATGAAACATATTCGAATTGCAACTAAACTGAAACATTTTTTTTATATTTCTTAATGTGTGCATTTCTCATGGATAGAAACTCATAGAGCTATCACATTGGCCGAAAAGAAGAAATCCGACTGGGAAAGAGAGCCAACAGTATTTGTAGACTACACAAAATATTGTGTTGTTGTATTAGGTACATTTTTAAAAATTATTTTTGGTTATTTTGTGATTGATACAATAATGATTTACGTCAATTTGATCCATTGATGAATTTGTGTTCAATTTCAGACCGCTTGGAGGATATCGAATCGAAGAATATGCTTCCGACGAAATGTTTGGACTTAGATTCAAGTGATAACGATTACTATCACTTTGTACAGGGGCTACAACTGTCATCAAAAGCAAAAGAAGAATCGGAATCAGGCTCTGAATCAAATGACGACTCAGGCACATCAAATATGGAATCAAAAACGGAATTGGAATTAAAGTCTGGATCAGAATCGAATGAATTCAACCATGATATTGATAAAATTTTATGTATTTCAAAAATGGTCTTCTACGGGCTTTTATGTATGTTGATTGTAATCATAGCAATACAAATTTTGTATTAAGTTTCTTGGAGAAATTGTCATAAACGAATAATTTAATTTTTTTTCGATATGAAGTTTGTTTTTTTCTTCTCGCAAAGATTTCGGTAAATAAAAGATTAATTTGAGATAACAGAATTCTGTGGCAAAATGTAAACAATGTTCATAGTGTGGTTATGTCCCAATGACAGCTTAGAATAAAACCTACTGACAATCAATTCTCACGGAGTGATCGCGTGATTTTTCACGTAAACAAAACTTCTCCGGCTTTGAGCTGAAGCAAAAATGCAATTATAGGCGTAATTCCATGTCACTTTCTTGTATGTCGTTGTACCAGAAAAAAAAGAAGTGATAAAAATGAGTATTTATTTCGAGTACTTTGATATATTCGGTGACTCAGTGCGGAATTACGTTCAATATTTTTCAAGCTGAGGCCACTTATGACCATGTTCAAGAGATGATTCCGATTGATTCTGACCATAGATACAAGTATAGAATTTATAGGAAATATAGTCGACTCCGTAACAGTGTCTTCGTCCATATTCTCTGGTGTAAACATTCCAAATATGAATAAGAATTTGGGTACATGTAAAAGATTATTCCGGCCATAATAGGTCATTGGAAAGGGCATACTTAATTCCAGAGAGCGTTCGCATAGCATGAACATCGCTGTTGATGTGACCGAGACTAAGTTCAGCTGATGCATAATCATTGTCAGGATTGGTCGTTCATTACTAGATGTATCGTCATTGTGAAAGATTTTTTCATAAAATTTATTCTCATTTTCTTATTTTTTGCACAGATTTCCATTTCGACTATGTATTACAATTGATTTCAACAAAATAAATAATCTGCAATGTGTGTGTGTGTGATATTCGACGCCATATAAAGACAGATAAGGATAAATCAAAATGTGTTTTTTTTAATTATTAAAATAATTTCGTATTCAATTTTTCTTCTTTTCTTTAAAAAAAAAGGTATTTACAGATTTAGAGAAAATCTTATCTAAATGAATAAAGTGACACTAGCGAAAAGAAACGAAATACATCAGTTTTTCTTTACTATTTTTGTTTTCTTTTTTAGCTAAATTGTAAATTGTTCATATCTGTCCTGTCCAAAGAAAAAATTAAACAATATGAAACAAACTAACGGCGATTTGATATTCAAGAAAAAGTAGAATTCAGTAGAACTATTGCATACGATCAAAAATGTATGTGTGTGTGTGTGTGTGTGTGTATGTACCATTTACGGTGGCATTCGATAACAAGATGTATTTACATTAAACGAATGATGCATTTAATTGTTGTGTCCGACAACTCATTTCCCATGCATACTCATATCACGTGGCAAATTCAATTGAATTGAATAATTATTCGAGTTTGATCGATCAACAGTCGATTTCACTCACTGATCGACGTATTTATCAAACCACTCCTGAATGCAATCGGCCATTTTCTTCCGTCGAAATCGTTGCGATTCCTCAATGCACATTTGGATGAATTGCAGTTTGGTCTCCAGGTTGCCTTTGATTAGATCCAAATGTTCCAGCAGCTGTGAATAATCGCGGCCGGGTCGACGAATGTCTTGGAAAATGATTTTTCGTGCCTGTAAATTATGTTCTCGTATCGTTTCCTTGAGCTCGTCATCGTTCTCGAGGCGAGATTGTGGATCATCCTCCGTCTTAACATTATTGTTGGTGGTTGAATTATTATTGCTTTGAACGTCGTTCTTTTTGTTGTGTGTTGAACTCGTGTTGTCCAGATTGTTTGTATGATGGTTGTGTGTGAGGTGAGATACGATTGATGTGCCAAATGGATTTGGTGGTAGCTCAAAATCACCACGGTATATTGGTGCTGTATCACGATTTGATGATGATGACGTCGACGATGACGACGACGACGATGATGTCTTCTGATTTAAATGCGATGAAGAAATTGGTTCGAATAGAATGCCACTATTTCCGTTGCTAGTGTTGTTGTTGTTGCTGCTGCTGCTGTTGCTATTTCCATGTGAGATTGGGTTGCTTGTGTTACTATTGCTTATGCTAATATTGTTACTGTTACTGTTACTGTTGCTGACGCTGCTATTTGATGACGATCCGTTATGGCATTGCTGAAGGATTTTCGAAATCTCTTGCGCATCGTTTAAGTCATTGTGTGCTTGAGCATGAGTCGGCTGAACAGGCGCTACCACTTGGACCACTTGTGGTGTGCTACCATTTTGTTGTGACAACGGTGATGCATACGTTTGATTGATGCTGATTTGTATGGGCGCTTGGGTAATTTGGATCGGTGAAGGCATCTGTTGATTTATATTGTATGGTGCATTTATCAGAATTGGTGGCACCAAACCGGGGGCGGCGGTGGTGGTCACGGCAGGCAGACTTATCGGATGATTGACTATGATTGGCGTATGTATCGGCGGTTGTGGTTGTATTATAACATCGTCGGAATCATCACTGTTCTCACCGTTTATGAAGCTTTGCACGTGACCGTTCACCATGAAATCTTCCTCCAGCACTGACGGCTGATTGAAACCCAAATCAATAGTCAGCTCATTCTCATCGTTATCCGCGAAGGATGATGTCTCCGAGGCTATCGAGCGACTGTCATCCATATCGCTGTTGGAATCATTCGAAACCGCACTGCTGTATGAATCCGTTGACAGCCTTCGGAACACAAAGTCTTTTCGTATTGGGCCCGGTTGTCGTTTTCTCTTTCGATTAATTACTTCGACTGCCTTCTTGGTCAACGACGGATTAGCATTGGGTTTCATTATGACTTCGCCCAAATCAGCCTCATCAACCATGACCATGTGTTTGTCTTTCTTGTACGGATTGCCAAACATATGTTGCCGTACGTTGGTCGGTTCGATTTCACGCAGCGGCGTCTCTTTATTCTTCAGATACTCCTGATAGTTGCCCATTTCGGAAATAGGCAAACAATGGCCGAAATCTTTGCTTGCGATTGATATATTGGACGTTGGAATTTTGTAGAAATTCTCTCGCATTCGTGCAATCTCATCGATGAGATCGTGTCGTGGAATATCGAATGGATTGCGATAATTCTTGGCCGGCCCTTGTTCATTCGCCGTCGGCACTACAATCGTATAATTCTCAAACAAAGTGATTTCGCTGTGCACTTTAACGAATGTTTCCCGCAGTTGTGGATGTGTGACCAGATCCCGTTTCAACGATAGTCCACAATTCAATTTGGCCGTTTCGACTTGATGATATGGTGGCTTGGGCATTTTCAATTGCTTCAGCACACGCAAGCACATATTCTCCTGCTCTTGTTTGGCCGTATTTTTGATGGTCTTCAAAAAGTTTGCCACGGATGGACTGAGATAATTATCTAAATTTTCCGGCAGAATGTATTGTAGAAAATTGTACGGGACGTTTGCGGTGTTGAGTGCACGACGCAAAAATGGTGCATAGTATGGTGGTGTTTGACGCAAATATACACTAAACTTGTACGTCCAATCGGGTGGCGGTGATGAATTGTACTTGTGCAACAGTTCATTGACCAGCGGCAGCAAACTGGGATAATTGTATGGCAGAATGATCAAAAATACTTGTGTGAATGGTGGACACGTTTTGAGGTATCCGAACGGTTGTTCGAGCGTATAATTGCCATTTGAGATAACAACGGGCCAGCATTTGTTCGCTTCACGTTTCGATAGAATCTGCAGCGTAAGCGGGCTTGCTTCCACTTCGTATTTGTCAACGGGGAAATTACGCACCATCGGCGGCTCATCGACGCACGGTGTGATTATACGAATTTTCGGATGTGCATCACGTGGCGGTAGATTCGCAAGTTTTGGATCCGGCCAATATGGTTCGGGTATGGGCCAAAAACCAACTGGAAATTGATTCTTCTGCGTCGGATGCTTGGCCACATAGATCATCTTTTTCGTCGTTTGAAATGCTAAATCTTGTACTTCACCGTCTTTCAGATCTTTGGCCAGCAACTGTTCAAACTGCACAACAACACCCGGCTGCACCTTTTGCACCAAACTTTCAATGCATTGGTTCAGCACGTACTGTGATTTAATTCGATACGAACGTCCACCTGTCACTTCACACATTCGTTCAATTGGTGAATCGTCATGTGGAACTTTCCCTGCGAACGGAAGAACAAAAAGGGTATGAAATCGATTTTCAATTATGGCATTTTGATTTTAAAAATTACAGTTTGTGCCTTACCTTCAACACGTTCGTCCACTTTATTGCCGGCCATTCGAAGTACCAGCGAAAATAGTCTTTGATCCCATCGAAATGGTTCTTTCGTCAATTTCATGCCCGTATACTGATTCATTATGATCTCCTGATGCACTCCATTCTTGTACGAATACCGTCCACCGTCGGTGATCACAATAATCACCGATGGCTCGAGATAAAATGGGCATCGCCCTTGTCCATACGTGTCAATGCCGGATTGCATGCGATTCAGATTGAGTAAATCGAATGCATTCTTCAGTGCTTCACCCATTGACGTTAGACCATTGCTTTGTAAATTCTTCAATTCATTGATAAACGTAAAATGATTCTCTTTCCATCCAGCTTTTACATTACACGGTGGATCCTCAAATGTTAACAGCATATAACGATCGCCCATACAATCCTGTGAACGCTGGCGATATTTTAAAAATGTTTCCACCGCACCTTTTGCAATATCCAAGTAAGTCTTTTGTACACCGTTTACATATGCTTTCTGACACATCGACGCCGATGTGTCAATCAAAAATAAAATAATTGTCATTTTGTTGTTTGTTTCTGTGACCGTACGCTGTTTACGCCAAAAACACAAGTAATCGTTTCAATGGTTTTACACCGAATGTGAAACATTAGCAGCGTTATATCGCCTAGTTATTGTCGGTTTTACGTGGTTTCTGTTTGCTCCGTCGTCCAATCGATGCAATTCACACACTTTCTTTCGTTCCAAAAAAAAAAAACAAAAAACCACAACAACAATGAATCCAATTCTCAATGTGAACTTTAGCGACACTAAAGAAAAATACACAGACAATAACAATAGAAAAAAAATTGTTTCAATTAGATATGTAAATAAAATGAAAGAGTAAAAATCGTTTAATCGAAGGTGTTTTCTTCTTCTCTTCTACTAGTCTGTTTTACTTCGGTTCTACGATTTTTTTTATTGTTGTTATGTGTAAAATGTGACATTCGCTCATATCAAATATGGTGTGTGAGTGCGTATGTCAAGCTTTATACATACACTCTGCTAGAATGGCAAGCGAAATGAATGAAATATGCCCCCCGTACAAATTGTTTGGTGTGTTCAGTGCATGTAGAAGTTGTAGATAGAAAATATATAGAGAATTAAAAGCACCAAAATCAAGTCCAACACACACAATTTGTATACAGCAGAGAAACACATTTCAGATTCCGTGCCAGAGATGTCGCTATATTGTTATGTACCTCGTAAATCAAATGTAAAACAAAGATGTATGCTTCGCTTTCAATATACTTCAATGGAGGAACACATGCGATACACTTGAAATTATCCACATCATGAATTTTCTTTTGGCTGCTGGTTGCGTTACGTACGCCAGAGAGTTCTCGTTCTTGAGTGAACGGTAGGATTGACAGTGTTTGAGCGCTTCCGTGATTTTAACGCTACGAACCGATTCAATCAATGGCAAAGAGAACTATGAAACACTTCTTGTCGATGAAACACACATATAGATGTGCATTCAGAGACGTGAAACACGGTGGCGCATCACGCTAATATGTGCGAATGTGTTTGCGAATTGGCAACGATAGCGCATTGAAGCATCGAAGCCACCAAAACAAAAAATTCCTTGTTGATTTGTATTATTCCACGGTTTCACACTAATACGCGCTGCGCTCACTCTCTTTCTCTCGCTTTCTCTCCCTCTCTTTCTAATTGATACTATGAAATGGTCCCAGTTGCGTGCACGTATTGAAATTTTGCTCGGCTTGAAGTCTCGTGGCTACAGACGATAAACGTACTGACCTGTCAAATAAAGAACGAAAAGAAAGAGATGCACGATTTCATTCCAATTGTTCGTATACGAAAGAAAAAAAACACACACACACTACACTACGTACACACTCTGCTACGTCGTATACACAGACACATCAATTGGTTTGCGTTCGTTCGTTCGTCCGTTCGTCCGTTCGTTCATGTGTACGAGTACTGAGAGAGAGAGAGAGAGAGAGAGTATGTGTGTGTGAAATGTGTATTCAAACGAAAGAGATAGCAAATAGATCGAAATTTTATCTTGTTGTACACATTTCAAATACAATGAAAACTGCATTACTATGTTCTACGCATAGAGGTGCCACTGTGTGTTTTCCTCACAGTTTTCATTTCACGACCAAAATATATTTTATTCCACATTGTATTTTATTCGCACCACATACTATGTTGTTCATGAGGTTTTTTTTCGTGTCTTTTTATTCAATTTGCATTGTTTTCATATCAATCAATCACCGTATGCACACTGAACGAACCCCGAATGAAACGGAAAATATCCAAATAATAATAACACACTATGAAATCTCTCAGTTGACAAATATCTTACCTTACGATTAGGTCGGATTTGTTTATAGGACTTTTTTTTCGGTCTCTCTCTCTTTCGGCTATATATTTATAGCTCATTCAAATTTTCAGCGACCGTTGTTTAATTTTCGACGACAGAGAAGAACAAAAAATAATTTCGAACACAAATTCTACGAAATTGCTACTAAGACTTGTATGTGTGGATATTCATGGGCAAATTTTCCAAAGTTTTTCAGCTAATTTCTATGCAATTCTCAAGTAAATAAAGACAGTTGTAACGTATATTTCTGCGTTTGCTGTGTACACTTCAATAGTCAAACGACAACTAAATTTATTGAAAAACTCAAACACTGAAACTGATGTGAGACGATGGAAAATCGCTTGAGTGAAGCGAATCCATGTATGCGTGTATGTGTCTGTCAAAACGTCATGACGACGTTTGTGTATGCGTCATTTCGCCGCCGCCGCCGCATTGAGTGACATCTCTTCGCCTGCAATCAAAACTGTGAATTCCGTTTCAGAACTTGATTGTGATGATGTTTGCTTTTTCAATGGAAAACAACGACAACTTGTTATGTTTCAAGTGATTTATTTATATTTAGACTATATTTTCGGCATTTTTTTTTCGGCTTTTATTCGATATGCTGTAGAATACCTTGGCGAATCAGCGGTTCGCATTCGGATCGTGGCAAATAATGTTGACTGTTCTTTTTCAACAGTACGACTTCTCCACTGTCGAGCTCAAAACGACCGTAATCGGACAGGCAACGAACTTCAATGTATAACGATTTTGGTGGTTTTGTGTATGAAGTGAGATCAATTCCAAAGTTTCCACATCCTTCACCAATCGACATCATGTAATTGGCCAAATTCTTTGAGTATGCATTGAAGAAGTGGACTTCGGGCTCGCACAGCAACTGTTTTATATCATTTGGTATTGTTGGTCCGAATTGCCATCGCATTTCTTTGATATGCTCCAGACGATTGTACAAGTATGCGAGGATACATCGTTTATTGCGCTCCAAACTGACGTGACGGTAGTTTATCAACGGCACCATGCTGCGATCGTTTGTTGTAGAAAATGCAACTCTGAACAAAGAAAAAAGTGCTTTTTGATAAAAAAAAACCTGTTTATTCGGTGAATAAAATCACCTTTCGATTAAACTTACGCATCTTTGTGATTTTGCTCGAATGTGGCATTCATCTCATCTAATACTTGACGCACGACTTCATCCTAAAGATTGGACAGAAAGAAAGTATAAAATTGAAAAAAAAAAATGTTCAATGCTTCTTGATGAATCGACTCTATTTTGACACGCAAGCGAAAAAAAAAACACAAAAAAAGAAGAAAGGAAATGTGAAAAAATGCTGTCTCAGATCGTACATTGAACGGTGGCAAGTTGTCGTTGTGTCTGTCCAATTCTTTGATTAACTCAAACGCCTTTTCCCCGAACATTTTTCAACAATTTTGAAACTATACACAGAAATGGAGGGAACAATGTGGAAAATTATTTTCCTTCGAAAACGAATGATTTTTTTTTTGAATTTTGCTCAAAACAATGAAAAATGCTTCGTAAACAAATCCGTGGTTTGGTGCACGGCAAATGTTGTGCCTTTGAATAACAAAGAGCTGAACTGTCAGGCGAAAAATGCTAACCGCCAAATTAGCTGTCAAACGCTCTGAATACAGCGCAAAAACAAAGAAACGTCATGTGGTGAAATCATTTGTGGGATAAAGAGCACCGTTGATAGTCACACAAGTAAATGGGCAATCTAAAGCAACTCCATTGTAAAATGTGTTAAGTTTAATTGTATTAATGAAAATTTCGTATCATTTCATCCGATTTGTTGTTAGTTTCGTGTTATATTATTGCGTTAGAAATGCCAGAATTCGTGATTGGTGGGATTCCTGTGTCGTTTCCGTTTGAACCGTATGATGTTCAACGACGATACATGGAAAAGGTCATCGAAAGTTTAGATAAAAGTGCCAATTCAGTGCTGGAATCACCGACAGGTTTGTTTTTTTTTTCGCAAAAAAACTCGAAATGTTCATTGCCATTGTAATTGATGGGTGTAATTTGAACGGTAGGTACGGGAAAAACGCTCAGTTTGTTATGTTCAACACTGGGATGGGTTTTGGAGAAGAAAAGACAAGTGCAGGCAAGTATGGATGATCAGCTGAACAAAGTGGCAGCCTTCAACAAAGAATATGGAGTGAACACAGCAGCGTTACCACAACGAAAACAAATGGCTGACCATTTTATCGAACAATTGAATGCGGCTGGAAATCAACAGACAAATGCCATGCTGGGCGTTCCACGCGTAATTTATGCCAGTCGAACTCATTCGCAAATTTCACAAGGTAAAAATGGAAGCCAACAATTCTTTTCGTGAAAAGCAAAAAGCCGTTTCTTTTCTTAATTAGGAAATATTTTTTACTCTTCCTCCATAGCCATGCAAGAGCTCAAACGAACTGAATACAATCACATGAAAGCCGCCGTGATTGGTTCGCGTGATCAGCTTTGCATTCATCCAGATTTGGCCAAGGAATCGAATGCCAACAAAATCCAGTTGTGCAAAATCAAGGTGACGAATCGCGTTTGCCAATTTCACAATCGTCTTGATTCGCAAAAAGATAATCCAGAGTTTCGTCAAAGTGGTGTACTTGATATCGAAGAGCTGGTTCGCATCGGCAAGAAGTTAAAGTGTTGTCCATACTATGCGTCGAAAGAGTTTGTCGATGATGCCGAAATCATTTTCATGCCGTACAATTACTTGCTCGATCCAAAAATGCGAAAGGCCAACAAAATTGATCTCCAAAACACAATAATCATCCTCGATGAAGCGCACAATGTGGAAAAAATGTGCGAAGAATCGGCTTCGGCTGTCATTAACTCAACACAAATCGCATTGGCCATTGAAGATGCGACGCATGTAAGTTTATGGGTTGACAATAGATTTTATTGTTGTTAGATTTCGGTTTGTGCATTATATATAATTTGTAACTGAACCTCTTGTTGAAGCCAGACATTCCATTTGGCTGCATATTGAGCTGAGCTAGTTTCAAATAGCTGGCTGTTTGGTTCATTTTGATTTTGTGACGAGTGAGCCATGCAAATTCATGTGGAATGTTGAATTTATGACACAAAAAATTCTTGAAAAGGATTGAAAAAGGTGTCACAAATTCAATATTCCACATGAATCTGAATGGCTCGCTCGTCACAAAATCAAAATGTACCAAACAGCCAGCTATTTAAAAATAGCTCAGCTCAATATGCAGCCAAACGGAATGTCTGGTTGAAGCACACTGCACGGAGAAAATCCATGCTTATCGTAAAACAGATACCGATATCAAGGAATTTCGTTCTTTCTTTACAGGTTCTCAACAAATTGGTGAACAGTGATGGTTCGCTGGCGCAAATTGGAGCTGATATGGAAAATAACGATGCACCCGATTTCACAGTCGAAGATTTGGCATTGCTAAAGGAGCTGTTGTTGTCATTGGAAAAAACAGTCGATGAAGTAAATCTTCCGAACGCAATGAGTGGCGAAACATTCACCGGCGGCTACATATTTTCAATGCTCGAAAAGGCCAACGTAAGGAAATTTTCTATGCGAACAGACACGAACCCCACTTGATTGAGATCTTGGCGAAAACAGTTATCCCAATACGAAGTTGCTAACTTCATTGGATCAATTTTCATTTTCTCTTTTGATGTTTTAGATTACACAAGGAAATATTGAAGCGATCACAAAACTGTTGGATACTTTAATCGCGTACTTGGCAACCGATTCTGAAGCGAGCGGTTCCGTTTTCCGACGAGGTGCTGGACTACAGCATATGCACGAGTTTTTGCAAATCGTTTTCTCAAGTTCGTCGGATGACTTGCGCCAACGCATGGACCGATGTTATAAGGTTTACATTGAACAGGAACCACAGAAACAAACACGCGGTGCCAAAACGAATGAAGGTGGATGGATTCAACCGAAAGCAGCTCTCAAATCCAAATCATCCGGCAAAACGGTTAGCTTCTGGTGTTTCAGCCCTGGATTTGGGTAGGTTTAGTTAATTTTGAATTGAATTTATTGACATTTTCATGCACAAGAATATGAGAAATGTTTCCTTTGATATAACTTTCATAATACAATTTCAATTCACTTGTGATTTTCCCTCAGGATGCAACATTTACTCGGTCGAAATGTGCGTAGCATCATTTTGACGAGTGGAACATTGGCTCCGCTAAAGCCGTTGATCAGCGAATTGGACATTCCAATATCAGTTCAACTGGAAAATCCCCACATCATCAACAGTGACCAAGTGTGCGTGAAAATCATTGGTCAAGGCTCAGATAAAGAGATGCTCAACTCCAACTTCCAGAATCGGTAAAAAGACATACGCTTCTTTGAACACATTTTTTTCACATTGAATGATCTCATGATTAATTTTCTCAATTCCGCAGAGACAACATGAAGTACATCATGTCACTTGGTAGAACGATATCATCCCTTTGTCCGGTCATACCAGGCGGTCTGTTGGTGTTCTTTCCCTCATATTCCGTGATGAATAAGTGCAAAACAACCTGGCAGGAAGAAGGAGTGTGGTCATCGATTGATCAAAAGAAACCAATTTTCGTTGAGCCTCAAACGAAAGAAGCATTTGTCACCACAATGACGGACTACTATGCGAAAATTGATGCGCCGAATAGCAAGGGTGCCACATTCATGGCGGTGTGTCGTGGAAAAGTATCCGAAGGATTGGATTTTGCCGATATGTACGGTCGAGCTGTCATAATCACAGGCCTGCCATATCCACCATTCAAAGATCCCAAAATCGTTTTGAAGAAGAAATACCTGAACGAGAATCGAACGCGACAGAATGAATTGTTGTCCGGAGACGATTGGTACTAGTCTTTATTTTCTTGAAAATGAAAAAGAACTGATTTGATTTTATATGTATTAGGTATTTCTTGGAAGCTTCACGAGCTGTGAACCAAGCCATTGGTCGTGTCATTCGTCACAAAAATGATTACGGCGCAATTCTATTGTGTGACACCCGATTTCACAATTCACGGCAAAAGAATCAGTTGTCGCGATGGATTCAAGGTCACTTGCAAAGACAAAATGGAAATCAACCATTCGGTCCAATGATTGGCGAACTCGCTCGATTCTTCCGAAATGCAGAGAAAACGGTACAATCAAAGAAATTCCATCAGTTTTCATGAATTGGAAATAGTAATAGGGTAATTCATTATATTCACAGCTGCCACGGCCTGGTTTAGAACCACTTCCATGCAAAACTGAGCCGAAAGATTCGAAATCGGGAATAACAGACATGGCTTGGGCATCAGGGCCAAAGTACAAGCTATCGGCAGAGTCACAGGAAAAAATCAAGGAGATCAGCTTGAACCAGGTGCCGAAGGCCAATGAAGCATTTTGTATGGACATGTACAAACATTCTGCCGCTCCAACGATGGCAAGCAAAAAAGTGGATCTATTTAGTGGCTTGAATCAAGGCGTGAAGGTAAAGAACGAACAAATTTAGAAAAGTGATACATTTTCAAATATCTTCTCATCATTTTCTCCAATAGACCATCGATTTCAACAATGTTTCCATCAATGTTGGCGACAATTCTCCGCAAGTCACAATCCACAAGCGAAACCGTAGCGGCGAAGAGAACATCAGTCCAAGCAACTCTTTTGAATCGCCTCCAGGCGGTTCGGCCGACAGCGATTTGCCGAAAAAGAAGAAGTACAAAATCGTTCCAAACAGTTTCACATCGCCACCGCCAGTGGCACCAACGCGAAAACCCACCTCAAGTTCAGTTTCTACTACGGCATCAAACAAAACGTCAAACTCGGTTTCTAGCCCATTTTTCAACGCAAAACCGGCAACCGCAGTAGTAAAAAAAGAGGACACTACAAGCAAAATGGTGAAGAAAGAAGACACAACAGTCACTGCCGTCAATGAACTGCCAACTGATCGAAAAGATCTGTTGAAATTCGTAAGTTGAATTCGATGAAGTGAATAATTGACTTCAGTTGAAATTGATATAAGCACAATAACCTTCATTGATTATTTAATTTTTTCCAGATAAGAAACACCCTCAACCAGGACAAGTACAACCTATTTTTACAAACGTTCATCGCGTATAATAGCAACAACGATTATGAGGCATATCGAAAGAATTTATTTTCGATATTTTGCGAGAAGCAGTGGATTTTCATCCTGAAAGGAATGATTCGTTTCACACGCGCAAGTCATCGTGTCACATTTCAAAAAGACGTCGAAGATTTCATTCAAAAATTGTCATAGGCCAATAGAGTTTTAATTTATCTGTCGATTCAATCGAATTACATGTGAAATTTTGTTTACGTATTGTAAATAATTCGGTCAATATTTGCGAAATTAAAGTATATTTTGAATATTTTGAAACGACTAGTTTTCTCGATTTCAAATGTTTTGGAACTTCATTACATTTCTTATGATCATGTCTAAGTTCAAGTTAAATTTCAGTGGAATAAAATAAACACGATCGTTTAACAAATATACGTTTAATGGTGTTGGTCCAATTTCTCTAAAACATAATAGAAAATGTCTGGACATTACTGAAATACAGTAGATTTGGATGTCTTATTAAAAATAATTCTATTTTTTGAATAACGATGAGACATCTGTTTTAGTTTCGTTTTGTTTTTGTTGATCATAAATACTTTAATTACTTCGTACCTGAATACTTTTAAAGAGATTAAATCTTTGCCTTAGAATGGTTTAATTTGATCGTCTCCTGTGATACTTTCGTAAGCTTTTTCTTTATATATGCATATTCTTATCATGATTATGGATAACGATATTAAATTTAGCTCTGGGAAATGCGTTGGCGATCTCGTCCATAGGTTCTTCATCAATATCATTATAATTGGTAATCAATAATTGAATCACTCCCAAATGTTTGCAGTTTTCTTTGATGTTTTGTATGGTTTGACGCCAGTTATCCATATTACAGTATGTATTGTATCTCATTGTGAGTTTAACGATTTTTGTGCAGGATTCAAACAGATATTTGGTATTTGCTTCTTCAATTTCAGAGCCGCAAAAGTTAAGTGTGATGAGATTTCTGAACCGCATAGCGACATTTGCAAATAGTATATATGGATTGTCATCTGGGCTGGAATTCTAAGTCATTCCACCAAAATCATTCGGAATTATTTTTTTTCGTACATAAGACCATATTGGAGTGAAAGAGAGAGATTCCACTATTTTTCAGCGTGCCACCGGAATCATTTCTCACACATTCCACTCTTCCTCGAGTTATCGGAATAATTCCGATGGAACGCTGAAAAACAGTGGAATCTCTCTCTTTCACTCCAATATGGTCTTATGTACCAAAAAATAATTCCGAACGATTTTGGTGGAATGACTTAGAATTCCACCCCTGATATGTATGGCTGTTGATCAACCCTTAATTCTTGAATCTGATCACAAATTCGATGATCGAGTAAATGAAGAATTTTCCTAATGACCTTACTTTCGGCACTGAATTTAATAGTTGTGAGTTGGTCAAGAGACACTCCAAAATTCGATGCTTTTGTTGCAAACGTGATGTCACTCTTGTGAAATTCAAGATATGATAGTTTCGGGCAATCCATAAGTGGAAAGATGTGTGTACGGCTCGTCACCACTGACATTATTTTTAACGTAGTTACATTTGAAAATGTGATCTTGAGTGAATCCACAGCGCACACCTTAACATTAACCAAAGACAACTCCCTTATTTTCTCAGCGAATTTGGTGCCAATAAAACTCCAAACAGCTGCTGTTTTTGCAGCATTCTCTTTACTTATATCGATTGCCAGTTTTGTTAGGTGTTCCACCAAAACGCCTGAATGTATCTCTTAGGCTGTTTAAATCGACAACAGTGAATACTTGCTTCGTAACTCGTTCGTGCATCGCTTCTTTTGTTTGGGTACAAGTTTCGTACAGAACACGTTCACTTTGTCCATCCAAATAGGAGTATATTCGTCTTTAATTATTTTTGCAGCGGTTATTGTCATTTTACTTTTAGGTTGAATGACCTTGAAGTTTACGCCACTGCCACGGTTTCGGGTGATCTCGGCGAATTCACGATGGGATTCCAAATTGAATCCGTACAGTTGCATATCATCCAATTTCAGTGTAACCAAATGTGGCAAAAATCGGATCAGGTAATGAGTCACATTAACGGTTAAACCGAACCATACGAGTTGCAGCGATGTCAGTTTCTCAAACAACGGGGTAACATCATACATTTGTTCATGTATTCCCTCGAGGCTAGCGTCATGGTCAAGCATCAGCACCTCTAGGCTTTGAATCATTTTACTTCCTCTTGCGATTGCTTTCAGCACCGTTCGAAATGATTTCGCACTAACAGCAATTTTCAGCGTTTCCAATTGATCCATGTTAATGTCACGGCAAGTATCTCCAAACAAATTGTCATGAGTATTATATTCGAGAGATTTCAGTCTTTTCATTTGGTCTCTTAGCGCTTGAATCACTTTCAACGGAAATTTTCTGCATTCAACTATGCGCAAATGTTCCAACTGTGGATTTATGTAGAGGAGCTGTTTTAGCACTTCAACATCCATATCACAGATATATTCCATGGCAAAGGTAGTGAGGTATGGAAAACGAATACTGGCCCAGTATAAATTTAAGCTTTTAATATTCTTTACAGTGAGACTGTTCAGTTTTTTCATCGGTTGAATCATCTGTGTGAGATTAAATTCATTGTCGTTGGTAGATACGGTGATGTGTTTTGCTGAACGACAATGTTTACCGATACCGAGCTTCAGCAAGTTATGCTTGTTTGGTCCACGTTGTGATGTGATATTTATCGCTTCAATTTTATAGCCGAACTTTTCCAAGAATGTGCGATACAGCATTTGATCATCCACTGTGTCGTCCGTGCGCACTTTAATGTCATAGTATTTTTCTTTTGAGTCGCCATTGTATTTTTTTGCGAACGAATCTTTTGTAATTGCTTCGAAACGCCTACACACCCGTGCCGTGTTTACAGATCAATATCGTTAAAATTTGCAAAACTTTTGAGCAAAATCTCGTTCGAAAAATTCAGCAATTCAGATATATGATCTTCCGAATCCATCTCGTTTTTATTCCAGATCATTCATTTGATCCGTTCAATTTAATGCCAAATGCCCGATATCGTGTGATAAAATTGTGATTGGGAGTAAACGATGTTGTGGAATTCAAACGCAAGACTGTGCTTATCGCGAGTTGTCACTGCTGTGCCGTAGAGAACCGATTGATGTCATCGAGTCAAGACAACACAACGCTGTTGAAACAATAAATTCGATTGGAAAACCAATAGAAATACTGCTTATAATTTTTTTTGTAGGTACTATTCAATTTCTTCATATAAACTTGTGGAAAATCCCGTAAATAAACTCATTGATGAATAGCGTGGCACTTCATTTGATTGTACTGGCTAAGAAGCGACTGTTGAAGTTACATGCTTACGGTGAGTTGAACAATGACTGAGTCGAAGTTTACTATAATGTTGACACGTAAGTTATGTGTTTCAACTGAATTGTCCGTTCTATTTTTCACGCTTTATACAGCGCATTTGAAAGTCATATAGTGAATGTTATCTGACTGCTATCAGTACACACAAACTACTGACGTACTCATACATTTACATTTTAACACGGTTTAATCCGATGATCAATAATTTATGGCGGTTTTACAGGACGGCTGGAGAAAGGGTACAATTGGGTACAATTTTATCTTGATATTCCAAATTGAACTGAAATTATGGATCGAGTAATAATATTTGTTGAAAACTTTTTTTTTCATTCTAGCTGACCCAGCCAGAGTCTAGATTTGGCGCAGAAGACGGTGATTTGGACTAAATGCTTTCTTCAATCGATGAAATGCCTTATTCGCCTGACATTGAAGAGGAACCATACAGAGAAAGTGAAGAAAGTGAATTGTCGCATGTTGTTGAAATAGAAATATTTCCCATAGGGAAGATCGATAATGAACGGTCGTCATCAGAAGAATGAATTTGTTTTCGTAATATAACTTAATTTCTTTCTTTACCAGCATCGCAGGAGAGCATTTCTGATGATCAATAAGTAGAAATTTATCAGCAAAAAAGGCAGAAGACCTGTTGTGTAAAATATAAACGGATATGCGTGCATTTTGAAAACACGTTACTTTCTATCGAAAAATTGAGATTAATCAAATTTTGTATTGAATAGAATATGAGTAGATGTAGGACCTCTTTGTTTAATGTCCGAGTATAGAGAAAATTGTATAATAATTTTAGGAGTTTTCAGAACTTTTCCCTATCAAATTGTCTTGTGGGCATCACAAAAAATATTAATTGATTTAGACTTAAGTCTGAAATTGATTTTATTCAGTTTTCAGCACATGAACTGGTGCCACAAAGTCATTATTATAATTTACTCAAATTCTCAACGAGAGAGCTACTTATTGACTCTACAATTTTAGAATCGACAACGATTCCAATGCTTTATTTGCTTAATTTGGGCATCCGAATACTAGAGCAAATACTCCAATGAAAAATCCAAAACGCATCGCTAAGAGTAAATGTCAATTTTTTCTTTCCTTCCAAACTAATTTGAAGCGATGAAGAAGAGGAAAAATTGGCGCTCAAATGAAAAATGCAACAATGTTCGCTTGGGGGTCGTTGTAGCTCAATGGACAGAGCATCTGACCGGCAATCAAAAGTTCCGTGGCTCGATTCCCGGCAATGGAAAGATGCCAATTTTCCCTCTTCTTAATCGCTTCAAATTAGTTTGGAAGGAAAGAGAAAATTGACATTTACTCTAAGCGATGCGTTTTGGATTTCTCATTGGTGTATTTGCTCTAGTATTCGGATGACCGAATTAAGCAAATAAAGCATTGGAATCGTTGTCGATTCTAAAATTGAAGAGTCAATAATTGGCTCTCGCGTTGAGAATTTGAGTAAATTAAAGACTTAAGTCTGTAACCACTATTTCGAACTTTTTAACAGACAGGCATCGAATAAACGCTATTCAGAGAAAAACACTCACCCGTTATATGAATATCAATGGTGCTTTCAAACTCGAAGCTACATACAAATGCAGTCAAATCCATGCAAAGCCATGCTTATGGCAAAAGATACACGGTGTGCATGGAAAGAATATTTTTTGAAAAATTACCATTTATCTACGTTCTTTGGGCTAAAAATTTAGCAAAGGCTAAAGAAAATGAATTGAATTCCATAAAATGGTAAAGTTTTCAAAAGTATTGTCTGATTATAATTAGAGTTACCATTTAGATCAATCGCAGATGACAGTGATTATGTGCGAATCTATTCTAGATCTTCAAGGATATAACACACAAATTGAGAAAAAAAAAAACATTTTCTGATTGTGAAAATTTATTTT